CTACTCGTGAGTGGATGGAGGTGTGGGTGGGTGGGGCCAAGACACAGCCGCAGGAGCGGACTGAAGTGTGGGAGGGGCTTATTAATCCACATCCTCCACCCGGTCCTACCACGACCCCCACCTCCAAACTCTGCCCCGCTGCTGTCACCAGCCGCTGTCCTGACACCCCAGGATTGTGCACCGCCCCACCCCCACCGCAGGTGCCGCCTCCCACCCCGGGACCTGCAGGAACCCGAGCTCTGGGTCTCCCCGGGGGGCCTTCCGGGAAGAAGCCTTGCAGAGCCTCTGCGGGTGGGTGGTTCCAGACGGTGACTCGGCGACAAAGCGACAAAACGAGCCAAACGCCCACGTCGGGAACACGCAGGCAAGGACCCGGCTGTTCCCGGAGCACCGGCCGCGGCGTTTGGCCTGGACCCCGCGTTCCCTGCCGGGGCGTGCTCGGCTCTGGCATCCTGCCCGGGGGCCAGCAAGGGGCGGGGCCGCAGGCAGGTGGGCGTGGTTTCCCGATGCTCAGCCGAGCGGGCGGAACCCATCTGGAGATCTTGCAGGGGGGTTGGCGGGCCCTGGTGTGTGTGTGTGTGTGTGGTGTGTGTATGTGTGTGTGTGTGTGCAGGTCCTGCAGCGCAGCAGGGTAGCTGCAGTGGACAACAATTAATTGGCTGTTTCAGAATTCCTAACAGAGGGGATCTTGAGCGTTCCCAGTGCGAATAAATTAAGTGTCTCACCCTATGATGATGTACAAGTACAAGAAGCAGGTGACAGGGTGAGGGCACCTGACAGGTGCCTCCTGCAGGTGGACAGGAGAGGCTTCTCCGAGCAGGTGCAATTGGGACCAAAACCTAGAGTCAGCCACACACAGCCTGGGGAAGGAGCGGTCCAGGCCGGGGCAGCGGGGAGGTGAGGTCTCCGCGGAGGGCGACGGGGGCAGAACCTGAGGACAGAGGGAAGTCCCCACGCGGGACCATGGCGAGTGCCGCGGAAGCGCCTGCTGCCGGTGCCCGCTCAGGAAACCCTCTGGCGCGCACCCGCGGAGGGCAGCCACGTGGCCCCGAGCACTGGAACACAGTGGGTCCTGACCCTCCTGCGTCGTCCATAGAACCGCCCCCCTCCCTCCCTCCCTGCTGCCGCCGCCTGCCGGGATCCTGTTGGAATGATGATCACTTAGACACCATGGGGTTTGCAGACTATAATTAAAATAAATTGCACCTGTCATGAAAGGTACGCCATTGCATGTGGCTGGCATTGTGTTTCTAGTGGGCCTTCCTGCCCTTTCGGTGGGGGCCCCTGTACCCCACTTTTCACACCCTCCCAGGTTTCTGTGACTTTCGAAGAGCTCTTCTGGGTTCTCTTTTTTAATGCATTTTTAAAAGATTTTATTTATTTATTCAAGAGGTAGAGTTACAGACAGTGAGAAGGAGAGACAAAGAGAGAGGTCTTCCTTCCATTGGTTCACTCCCCAGATGGCCGCAATGGCCAGAGCTGCGCCGATCTGAAGCCAGGAGCCAGGAGCTTCTTCCAGGTCTCCCACTTGGGTGCAGGTGCCCAAGGACTTGAGCCATCTTCTACTGCTTTCCCAGGCCACAGCAGAGAGCTGGATTGGAAGAGGGCAGCCAGGACTCAAACCGGTGCCCTTATGGGATGCCGGTGCCACAGGCAGAGGATTAACCTACTGCACCACAGCGCCGGCCCCTGGGTTCTCTTGATGAATAGCAGATTGACGATAGATAAATCGACAGGTAGATGATAGGTAGGTAGATAATAGATGGATAGGCCGGCGCCGCGGCTCACTAGGCTAATCCTCCGCCTAGCGGCGCCGTCACACCGGGTTCTAGTCCCGGTCGGGGCGCCGGATTCTGTCCCGGTTGCCCCTCTTCCAGGCCAGCCCTCTGCTGTGGCCCGGGAGTGCAGTGGAGGATGGCCCAAGTGCTTGGGCCCTGCACCCCATGGGAGACCAGGATAAGTACCTGGCTCCTGCCATCGGATCAGCGCGGTGCGCCGGCCGCAGCGCGCCGGCCGCGGCGGCCATTGGAGGGTGAACCAACGGCAAAGGAAGACCTTTCTCTCTGTCTCTCTCTCTCACTGTCCACTCTGCCTGTCAAAAAAAAATAAATAAAAAAAATAAAAAAAAATAGATGGATAGATAGATCATAGATGGATGGATAGATAGATAGATAGATAGATAGATAGATAGATAGATTAAGGTAGGTAGGTAGGTAGGTGACCAGCTGAGTGGGTGGCTACATGGCTGAGTGGATGGATGGCTATGAAGGTAGGTAGAGATAGATAGAAGATAGATAAGGAGGTGGGTATGTACGTAGGTGGGTGGATGGATGGATGGATGATAGATTATAGATACAACAGGTATATAGATGATAGATACAGATAGATGATGGATATGATGTAGATAGATGATATTTGTGGTATCTATGGATCGATAGATGATAGATGGAAAGACAATTTAGATAGAGGAGTGATAGGTGATATAGATAGATGACAGGTGAAAGATAGACAGATATGCTGTAGATAGATAGACATAGATAGATCCAGGAGTCCTGTTTAAGGTTCTGCTCCAGGGCCAGTGCTGTGGCGCAACAGGTAAAGCCACCACCTGCAGCACCAGCATCCCATATGGAGAGCGGTTTGAGCCCCAGCTGCTTCACTTCTGATCCAACTCCCTGCTAATGCACCTGGGAAAAGCAGCAGAAGATGGCCCAGGTTCTTGGGCCCCTGCCACCCATGTAGAAGACCCAGAGGAAGCTCCTGGCTCCTGGCTTTGACCTAGCCCAGCCCTGGCTATTGCAGCCATTTGGGGAGTGAACCAGCAGATGGAAGACCTCTCTCTCTCCCTCTCTCTCTATAACTCTGCCTTTCAAATAAATAAAATAAATCTGAAAAATAAAAAAGAAAAATACTTTTGAAGGGCCAGCACTGTGGCATACAGGGTAAAGCCGCCACCTGCAGTGCTGACATCCTATATGGGCACCGGTTCAAGTCCCAGCTGCTCCACTTCTTCTTCTTCTTCTTTTTTTTTTTTTATTTCACAGGTAGAGTTACAGACAGTGTGAGAGAGAGACAGAGAGAAACGTCTTCCTTCCATTGGTTCACTCCCCAAATGGCCGCCACGGCCAGCACTGTGCTGATCCGAAGCCAGGAGCCAGGTGCTTCTTCCTGGTCTCCCATGCAGGTGCAGGGCCCAAGCACCTGGGCCATCCTCCACTGCACTCCCGGGCCACAGCAGAGAGCTGGACCAGAAGAGGAGCAGCCAAGACCAGAAGCCGGCACCCATATGGGATGCCAGCACTGCAGGCGGAGGATTAACCAAGTGAGCCACAGCGCCGGCCCCTGCTCCACTTCTGATCCAGTTCTCTGCTGTGGCCTGGGAAAGCAGCAGAAGATGGCCCAAGTGCTTGGACCCCTGCATCCATGTGAGAGACCCAGAAGAAGCTTCTGGCTCCTGGCTTCAGATTGGCATAGCTCCAACAGATGAAGCCATCTGGGGAGTGAACCAGAGGATGGAAGGCCTCCCTCTCTCCCTCTCACTCTCTCTTACTCTCTCTCTCCTTCTGCCTCTCTGTAACTCTGCCTTTCAAATAAGTAAATAAATCTTAAAAAAAATTTTTTTTGAAAAATCCTCGCACTGTTTTTTGGTTTGGCATGGTACCCATTTCCATGAACACGTGTGTGTGTGTGTGTGTGTGTGTGCACGCGCGCGCACATGCTTGGTGCCAGCACCACAAGCCACACAGCTGAGAACTGATCTGACAGATTTCTGAGTTTTGACAGCTGTAACTTGGAAGCAGGACTTTCTCCCACCATTTTTTCCAAAGGAGCTCCTCATTTAAGGGAAAAAAAACAATGGAGCCAAAATGATAGCCATTTTTAACTTTTAAGAATGCCGGCGCCGCGGCTCACTAGGCTAATCCTCCGCCTAGCGGCGCCGGCACACCAGGTTCTAGCCCCGGTCGGGGCGCCGGATTCTGTCCCGGTTGCCCCTCTTCCAGGCCAGCCCTCTGCTGTGGCCAGGGAGTGCAGTGGAGGATGGCCTAAGTACTTGGGCCCTGCACCCCATGGGAGACCAGGAAAAGCACCTGGCTCCTGGCTCCTGCCATCGGATCAGCGCGGTGCGCCGGCCGCGGCGGCCATTGGAGGGTGAACCAACGGCAAAAGGAAGACCTTTCTCTCTGTCTCTCTCTCTCTCTCTCTCTCACTGTCCACTCTGCCTGTCAAAAAATAAAAATTAAAAAAAAAAAAACTTTTAAGAGTTCATTCTATTTCACTTTAATTCATTCTCATGAAGAACACAGCAGACTGTTTCAGAACTCAGAGCTGGAAACAGAGGGGACCATTGAGGCTGCATTGCTCATCCGCAGGGTGTCCAGGCTGCCTACCAGGTGAGCCAGAGAGCCACAGAAAGCCACGGAGAGCCACGGAGAGCCGCCCAGCTTGGTGGCCCAGGCTGGCAGATCCCCGAGCACACACAGAGCTACTGGTGCTCCTCCAGGAAGCCTCCCCGACCTCCCCAGAGGATTCCTCAACCCTGACTCACAAAGAAGCCAAGGTGCCAGACACAGACGGATGGACAGACGGATCCACAAAGGGCCTCCCAGGGGCTTGTGAATACGCACACATTGGGAAAATACTGCTCATGGGTTTCAAAGAGTGCACGCACACAAGCTGATCTCATTCTGTTCCCCCCCAGCTGTGCGAGGCCCCTCGCATGGCTGCCCCCGTGCTCCCCGAGGGTTCTCTCCCTGGAGCAACTTGAACTTCCTCCCCAGGACTCGTCCTGTCCTGGTCCCCACCGCATGCCAGATGCCTCAGGCTCTCTCTTTATGTCTCTCTCCCTCTGCAAGGCAGGTGGCTCAGCTCTTTGTTGGGGTGGGGTGGGGGGAGGATGACTGGTGAGGAAGGGAAGGAAGGAAGGAGAGGGGAGAGGAGGAGGGAGGGCTCCAGGAGAGGAGGGGGAGGAGGAGGAGGCTGGGCACCAAAGAGGGGCGGGGTGGCGAGGGCACAGGAGGAGAAGGTGGGACCCCGTGTTCAGGTCCCAGGGAGATAAAATCCCAAGGCCAAGCCACTGGGCCAGCAGTCCTGGGAGCGGGGAGCATGGCCCGGCCCTTGGAGGTGCTGCTCGTCTGGGCCTCCCTACTCCACGGTGCGGCAAGCACTCCCTACGAAGGTGAGGAGTGAGGTGAGGGCGGCAGGGGCTGGGGGTTTTAAACACGAGCCTCGCACAGCCTCTGCCCCGTGTGAAGTGTGAGACCCCGAGGAGGGGACGCCCCTACCCCCGCCACCAGCCTCATGTGCCCTACGAAAGGAAAAGTCTGTGGCTCCCAGGAGCTTAGTGCATGGACATGCACACAGAGAGAAGGGTTTGAGCCGTGTAGATGGAAAAATGAGGCTGTCGATCAGGAAATTCCACGGGCAGAAGCTGTGTGATTTCGTCACCAAGCAGCTCCCTCCCTTCACTCTGGGGTGCTCGAGTGCCTGGATGGGTGGGTGGATGGGTGGATGGGTGGATGGATAGATGGATGGATAGATAGATAAATGGATGGGTGGAAGGAAGGGAGGGAGGGAGGAAAGATAGCTAGCTAGATAGATAGATAATAGGTGTATGGATTTGTGGATGATGGGTGGGTGGATGGATGGATCGGTGGATGGGTGGATGGATGACATAGGTAATAGATCAATGGATAGGTAGATGATTGATGATAACCAATGGATGATAAATAGCTGGATTGGTGGATGATAGATCTATAGATAAATAGATGAGACATAGGTGGGCAGATGGACAGGTGATTCATAGAGATTTAGATGACAGATAACTAGAGATGGAGATAGGTGATGGTAGGTGATAGAAATGGAGAGAGAGAGAGAGGATGGATATGAAAAAAGGTGGTGAAACTATCCTACAAGGTCTGCGCTGTCGGGGTGCGGCCTGAGAGCTGTTTTCCCGCAGAACTTGACCTCCTGGGGACAAAGTGTTTCTCAGAGTGACACACAAAAGGAGAACGCCCCGGGCCCTGGGCTCCCGGGGCCTTGCTTGAGGATGCGGAGGCGCCGCTCTGCCTGTCTGCCCTGCAGCCTGCCCCTGCTCTGTGCCCTCGTACCGGTTCCCAGGGGTGGCTGCCAGTTCTTCCAGACGACCTGGCTGGGGGGCGGGGCTTCTGATGGTGGAGCCCCCAAAGCACATGTGGCGGGTTTGGGATGTACAAGGCTCCGACACACGAGTGTCGAAGATAGAGGGAGACACAGGGGCGGGCGCGCCGCCCGCGGAACTGTCCCCACCGCCCCGCCTAGGAGACGCGCGGGTCACTCCGCCTTGGTTCTCAGAGTGGGGTGTTGGGGGCACCTCATTCCAGAGCTGAGACTTTTGCCTCATGCAAAATTCTGGTTCTGCACAATTCTCCAGGGGGGCCGGGTCCTCGGAGGGCTCCCTGGCCCCTAGGACTGTCCCCGTGGACAGACTCCACCACGCCCCGAGAACCGCAGGTCCTGGGGCAGGCGGTGTGGTCAGGGCACATCCACCGCGGGGCAGGGGTGCACCAGCAATGGTTCAAGGTCGGCAGAGCCCTGGGCTCCAATGTGAACGTTGGAAGAGGGACAGCAGCTCAGAGTCCCCAGGCATTGCCCGGGGTCACCCCAGCCTCCTCAGTCCCACCCCGAGCTGCCCCAGGGCGTGCTCTCAGAAGTCCAGCTCCCCCTCAGGCGGTTCCCAAGTGCCCCTGAGCTCTGGCTGTGGCTTCAGGCAGAGCTTCTGAGCTTGCGAGCCCACGCCGGGGGCCGGGAGCAGAGTTCCTGCCGCCTCCCGATGGCCTGGCCGCAGGGCAGCCAGGTGTCCCACGTCTGGCGTGATGTCACTCCTCCCAGCGCTGCTGACCTCGGTTAGAGACAGGTGTGGGCTGTGGGCTCAGGACCCTGCAAGGGCCGCTTTATTCCAAACGCGTTAGAACCAGGTCAAATTCGGGGTTCTTATGCGTTCTGCCATCTTTGCACACATTCTGAGTCATCTGGGGATGGGGGCCCAAGGCGAAACACAAAACACACCTCATCCATGCCATTTCCAGATAGCCGGAAATAAAGTGTTCTACAGTGCCACCTTCCACTGTGGCATCCTGTCAGCCAGAGTTTGAAGCACTTGGGTTCAGATGTGGGGGGACTGTGGCTGCCGCCCACAGAGTGAGCCTGACTGCTCAGACGCCTGGTCTACCTGGACGCCCACAGCCTCAGCCCCTCAGTTGGTTTACTGAGCATAGTGCCCCCCAGGTCACCTGTGCTACTGCAAATGGAAGGACTTGGGTTTATAAAAAAAAAAAATAGGTTTGTTTATTTATTTATTTGAAAGGCAGAGAGAGAGAGAGAGAGAGAGAGAGAGAGAGAAATCTTCCATCTGCTGGCTCACTCCCCAAATAGTCATAGCAGCCAGGGCTGGGCCAGGCCAAAGCCCAGAGCCTCTTCCAGGTCTCCCACATGGGTGCAGGGGCCCAAGCACGTGGGCCATCTTACGATGCTTTCCCGGGTGCATCAGCAGGGAGCTGGATTGGAAGTGCAGCAGCCTGGACTTAAACTGGTGCCCATTTGGGATGCCAGCACTGCAGGTGGCGGTTTTACCTACTATGCCACAGCACTGGCCCCTGGGGTTGGTTACTATAAGGGCTCCAGGCATAAGTGGGAGGAGGGGTCTTGGTGGGAGCCCTGAGTTGAAAGGAAGATGCCATACAGTTGTTCCAAACCCCCCAATCCTTACTCACCACCCAGAGCTGAGTGGGGACCCTCCACTGCTACCCACGTGGGACACCTGGAAGAAGCTCCTGGCTCCTGGCTCCCACCTAGCCCAGCCCTCCTGGCCATGGCAGCCATCTGGGGAGTGAACCAGCAGATGGAAGGGGGTGTGTGTGTGCATGTGTGTGTGACTCCCTCTCTCCGTAGCTCTGCTTTTCAAATAAATCTTTTAAAAAATACTCACATCTTCACTAACGTAATCAGATAAACCGTGATATAAAGGGCAAGGACTGGCCCAAACCGATGGCTCTCTCTTTGTAAGCGAGGCAGAGACATACCCAGGGAGCAGGTCGTGTGGGGTGGAGGTCACGTAGGGTGGAGGTCCTGTGGACGGAGGCCCGTGAGGTTGGTGGTCATGGGCGTGCCGACACCTGTCTAAGTCCCTTCCTGTGATTATGTTGTGGCTGCGCCCACGTGGCAGGCCCGGGATGTATCCAAGCTGGACTGGATACATCCACACTCAGCAATGTGCGGGGGCCTTGCCCCAGGCCCCCAAGTCTCTTCACTGGGCAGTGTGTGTCGGAGGGAAAGGCTGCAAGTCCAGGCTCCTGTGGCTCCCAAGTGGAAGCCACAAATGAATAGAGTGAGCAAGCGGCACGCCCGCCACCCGCATGACGGACACACAGCCGAACGCACTGCTCTTCCACGTGATGCACGCAAGACGGCCGGGGCTGTGGCGCAGCAGGCTAAGCCACTGCTCGCAACACCGGCACCCCCTATCAGAGCACCGGCTCAAATCCCAGCTGCACTGCTTCCAATCCAGCCTGGGAAGGCAGCAGGTGACGGCTCGAGTGCTTGGGCCCCCGCACCCACATGGGAGACCCGGATGGAGCTCCTGGCTCCTGGCTTTGGCCTGGCCCAGTCCCAGCTGTTTGTAGCCATTTGGGGAGTGAACCAGTGGATGGAAGACCTCTTTCTTTCTTTCTCGTTCTCCCTCTTTCTCCACCCCACTTTCAAATACTTAGATAGTTTTTAAACCTAATTTTAATTGTTACTGTTTATTAGCAGTATTTGGAAAATGAAGTTAAAACTAAAGTAGGCCGGCGCCACGGCTCACTAGGCTAATCCTCCGCCTTGCAGCGCCGGCACACCGGGTTCTAGTCCTGGTCAGGGCGCCAGATTCTGTCCCCGGTTGCCCCTCTTCCAGGCCAGCTCTCTGCTGTGGCCCAGGAGTGCAGTGGAGGATGGCCCAAGTCCTTGGGTCCTGCACCCCATGGGAGACCAGGATAAGTACCTGGCTCCTGCCATCGGATTAGCATGGTGCGCCGGCCGCAGTGCGCCCACCACATTGCGCCGGCCGCAGCGGCCATTGGAGGATGAACCAACAGCAAAGGAAGACCTTTCTCTCTGTCTCTCTCTCTATCCACTCTGCCTGTCAAAAAATAAAACAAAAGTAAAAATCAAATGCCCCCCCATAATCACATGACCAAAAACTAAGCACTATTGAATTTTGATGCTTGGCTCTTAAAATGTTGCTGTTTTTCCTAGAATAGAACTTGAAGAAGTATTTACATTTCATTCATCTTAAGTGGTAAAGCTAATGGAAAACTTGTTTCAAAATTCCAATTTCAAAACTTTCCAACAACTTTCAAATATTTCAAACTTCTATCTTTCAGGTCAGCACCCACCAACCGCAGGTGAGTTAATTTTAAAAATGTTTATTAGTGTGTATTTTTATTTGTTTTTAAAAACATTTATTTATTTATTTGAAAGAATTACACAGAGAGAGGAGAGGCAGAGAGAGAGAGAGAGAGAGAGAGAGGTCTTCCATCCACTGGTTCACTCCCCAATTGGCAGCAACAGCCAGAGCTGCACCGATCCAAAGCCAGGAGCCAGGAGCTTTTTCTGAATCTCCCACATGGGTGCAGGGGCCCAAGGACTTGGGCCATCTTCTACTGCCTTCCCAGGCCATAGCAGAGAGCTGGATCAGAAGTGGAGCAGCCGGGTCTCGAACTGGCGCCCATATGGGAATCCAGCACTGCAAGCTAGGGCATTAACCCGCTGCGCCACAGCACCGGCCCCAGTGTGTATTTTTAGATTTGGAGAAGTCATTTGATATTTCTTTTCCTGGTAAGAGACCATTTTTTTTTCCCACGGAAAATACTTTTGTGCTTATATATAAGGTTAAATAAGGCCTGTGTTTAAAAGAGTTAAGGAAAGAGAATATAGAAATCAGACTTTTACAACCAGTTTACTGCTAGTACTTTTGAGTGATTAAATACTTCTCCATACTGTGATTTTCTTCCTGCAAACATTGAGTCTTCCAGAGCATAATGAAATAAAGTGCTTTTGTCACCGACAGATGGCGTACAAATGTTCTGTATCTGAACACTTGTACTTGTTAATACCTGCGTGGTATTATAAAGCTTATTTTACTTTAAAAGTCCTTTCATGATTCATATTTTTAATGATTTATATTTTTGGTTAAGAGTGTTTGAATTCTCTTTTTTTAAAGTGTGGGGAGCAGCCCGGACTGGACTGAGTTACTGGAATTAAGACTTATTCTATGCATCTGCTCTCCCACAATATGGCGCTGGGAGAGAAGTAAACAGCTTCTGCACAGCTGCCTCCAGTTCAACCAATAAACTGTAGGACTTGCTACTGATTGGAGGAGAGCAGCGTACTCGGCGTGTGGGCAGCCGAGTTAGGATTGGAGGAGGAGGACTATAAAGGAGGAGAGAGACGGCATGCACCAGGAACATCTAAGGGGAGCATCTGAGGGAACACCTGTGCAGCCCCCGAGAGAGCCGGCCAGCAGAGTGCCGCTCCCCTGCGGAAGTGGGGAATGTGGCAGGGGGAACTGCCCTTCCACGGAGGTGGAAGGGATAGTAGCCAACCCGGGAAGAACCAGCAGCAAACCCGGGGAGGGCCGAGCAGACGAAAGAACAGCGCAGGGTCCTGTGTCGTTCCTCCACGAAGAGGGGGAGCAACATAATGGTGCCGTGACTCGGATATGAAGCCTAGGCAGGGTTTAGTGTCGTTCCTCCACGAAGAGGGGGAGCGACATTAAAGATTTTATTTATTTATTTGAGAGGTAGAGTTACAGAGAGAAGGAGAGGCAGAGAGAGAGAGGTCTTCCATCTGCTGGTTCACTCCCCAAATGGCCATGATGGCCAGAGCTGAGCTGATCTGAAGCCAGGAGCCAGGAGCTTCTTCTGGGTCTCCCACATGGGTTCAGGGGCCCAAGGACTTGGGCCATCTTCTACTGCTTTCCCAGGCCATAGCAGAGAGCTGGACCATAAGTGGAGCAGCCGGGACTCAAACAGGCACCCATATGGGAAGCTGGCACTGCAGTTGGCAGTTTTACCTGCTATGCCAAGCGCCGGCTCCCTTGAGTGAATTCTTAATCTGGAAGTCATTCCAACTAAAGCCAGGAAGGCGTGGGACTGTCTGTTGCCACCAATAGTAGGTAACACTGTTTGGAAGGATTCTAACATATGTGATATTATAAAAAGAAAGGTTATATAAGCTGCTAAGATGACAAGCGACGTTATGTTACCATTTCAGACTTTAAATCCTTAGGAAGCAGGTGGAAATGTCTCGCTTTGCCCAGAGGACCTGGCTGCGAGGGGGGACAAGATAAACATGGAGTGGTCAGCACTCCTTTCGTGCACTCAGAGGGCCAGCTGGCCTTGGTGGCGAATGCGACGTCCTATTTTACACCGATGACTCTTTAAAAACCTTTGGAATTAAGTCATCAAGAAATGTGTCAGATTTGATTAATGCAAACGATGAAATCGTGTTGAAGAACGCAGAAGGCCCTGCCGTGTTCTGGGGTGGAAGACGTAGCCAACGCCTGTGCATTTCTGCCTTAACAGGCTCATTTAATGCCGTTTTATCTTATGTCTGAAGGTCTAAGAGAAATGAGGTGAATTTCAGCTTCCACTTTTATTTTTCAGATTCTATAATTCACTTTCCAGAGGTGGAAGGTAAGTTGATAAAAAAAACTCATTAACATATGTCCTAATTTTGTAAAATGAGGGAATCGGTTATTTTTCTGGTTAACTTCGTTCTTTTATAAAATGTAAGATAAACAGCTTGTGCACAGCTAAAACAGAGAAACAGAACTCGCCACATAGACGTTTCTACTCCCTGATTGTGCCAACCTAATAAGGAACGCCATTTTCCCAGTTCATGGAGAAAACCGAAAATAGGAATATTGCAGACAGAGACAGTGCTTGGTTAGAGAATCACTTTATCAGGTGTTGTTTTTCTTAAAAAAAAGAAACATTTATTTATTTGAGAGGCAGAGTCACAGCAAGAGAGAGAGAGAGAGAGAGAGAGAGGTCTTCCATCCGCTGGTTCACTCCCCAAATGGCCACAACGACCGCCCCAGAGGAGAACTTTGAGAACAAATAGGAATCATCTGCCACCTAGACAAACATTTTCACAGGGTGCAGGTTCTTCCTGAGGTTGAAAATCCCTGGCAGTGGGGCCGGCACTGTGGTGTAGAAGGTTAAGCCTCTGTCTGTGATGCCAGCATCATATGGAGGCCAATGGTTCCCTGCTGCTCCACTTCCAATCCAGCTCCCTGCTAACGCTGGGAAAACAGAGGAAGATGGCCCAAGTGCTTGGGCCTCTGCACCCATATGGGAGACCCGGATGAAGCTCCTGGCTCCTGGCTTCGGCCTGGCCCAGTCTCCGCCATGGCAGCCATTTGGGGAGTGAACCAGAGGATGGAAGATCTCTCTCTCTCTCTCTCTTTCTCTCTGTCTCCGTGTGTCTCCTCTCTCTGTAACATTCAAATAAATAAATCAACGCTCCATGCCCAAGAGCTGACATATACAGGACAAGGGACACGCCCACTGCAGCCGTGGACACGAGGGAAGGGGAGACCTGACCCCAGCCTGGCTGCCTACGGTGCACCTGCAGCCCAGAGCATGTCCGCTGCCACAGCGCATGCGCTGCTTTACAAGGCGCTCCGGAACCAGAGAAGTTAGAGACTGAGAGAGGTTCCTGGCGCCAAGAGTGATTGACAGAAGCCCCTGCCCGGGTGCGGAGGTGCGGATCACTGGCTGCGAGGTGTTGCACGTATGCCACGTGGCTCTGCCTGCCTTGCGTGCGGAGGTCTAGGGTTCTGCATGCGTGGACACAGCCACCCCTGGGGACCCACGGGGGACACCGGCAACCCCTGCACACTGCAGTCACTCCGGGGCAGCTAAGGGCGCCCCACACCACGTCCCGCCGCTGGGGACTAAGCACCCTGGAGTCGGCGGTATGCCCGGTGCTGTGCGTCCTTCTCCCCAGGGTTTTCCATCAGGCGCCCTGGGCTGAGCCCGGGGAGCCGTGCGCGTGGCCGCTGGGGTCGGGGACACCGGAAGGGGAGAGGGACCAGGCCCCAAAGGGCGGCCTGGGACAGGAACGACCATGACTAAGCTTCTGAGATCCAGGCGGTCGCTGGAGATGGTGGAGGGGGCCGCGGCGGAGAGCAGCCCCTGGCCGCGCTCTGCAGACGGGTGACGGCTCGCTCTCCCCTAGACGGCCGCTGCGTCTTCCCGTTCCAGTACCGGAAAGAGACGTTCCACGACTGTATCAGCTTCAACGCGAGGCACAAGTGGTGCTCTCTCAACGAGACCTACATGGGCTACTGGAAGTACTGCACCAAGGCGGGTGCGCGCAGCCAGGGCACGGGGGTCGAGGGAGGCGCAGCCGGGGGCCGGGACACGAGGACGCCCAGGGCCGAAAGCCTCCCGTAGAGCAGCGGGCAACCCGGGAGCTCCACCCACCCCTCCGGGTTCCCACGAGCGGGGGCCGACCGGGGACCAGCAGGAGTGAGTGAGGGGCTTGTAGGAGGGTCCTACGGTGGCAGGTGTGGGGCAGAGGGGAGGCGCGTGGTCAAAGCTCACTCGCTCGCCCGCTCCCTCTTTCCCCAGACTTCGCCAAGTGCGTGTTCCCATTCTGGTTCAGGCGCATGATCTACTGGAACTGCACCCAGGACGGGAACGACTTCGGGAAGAAGTGGTGCTCCCTGACCCAGAACTTCAACAAGGACCAGCTCTGGAAGTACTGCTGAGCGCGCGGGGGGCGGGACCGGCCTGGGGCTGAGAGCCGCTTCCCGAAAGTGCAGGGCGCGGGGCTTCTATCTGCAGCCGGCTGTGTGCTCAGACCCTGAACACGGCAGGCTTTGGGTGGGCATCACCCCTACGCGGGGGTGGGGCACCCTCATATGTGCCACTCCATGCTGCTGTGAATTGCAAACTGCAGTAAAAATAATAATAAAGTCTATCAAAAACGCTTTCATAACCAGCACGGGTGTGGGAGCTGAGGAGTGGCCCAGGGCCAGGCTGGAGCCAGGAGCTTCATCCAGGTCTCCCCCCATGACTGCAGGGGCCTAAAGGCTTGGTCCATCCTCCGCTGCTTTCCCTAGTGCATTAATAGGGAGCCAGATCGGAAGTAGAGCCGCTGGAACTGGAACCAGCACTCCAGTATGGGATGTCGGTGCTGCAGGCTGTGCCTCACCCGGCCGCATGTCAACCGTCCCCAGCACACACGGCTCTGGAAGCTGAGAAGCCGTGCAGTTTGCCACCCGTGAGCTGGAGGCCAGGAAAGGCCAGGGCATGGTGCCGGCCACACTGGAGGCCTGGGAACAAGATGTGGGTCCCTACAGGAGTCACGAAGCCTGGGCAGCAAGAGCCCTGGCAACTGAGACAGGAGACAGCGCCCCGGCCAAGCAGGGACCGTGAACTCGTGCCTCTCCCCTTGGCGTTCTGCTTGCACCCTCAGAGCACCGGGGCAGACGAGGGGCCTCTGCTCCTCTCCTTAAACCAATGCAAACGCTGGTCTCCTTAGGGAACATGGAAGGCCGGCCCAGGAATACCTCCCTGCCAGCCACCCAGGCAGCCTCTGGCCCAGTCACGTTGGCACCAGCACGCAAACCCCCAGCCCTCACTCCCAATCCCGGCAAGAGAAGCCTGATCTAAAAGTGAGGAGACCAAAAGGACTTAAGGGCAGGGTCTGCGTAGGGTGTGGCCGGGAGGGTGTGGCCATCCCTGAGGGTGAGGGACAACAGTGGTAAGGAGGGGCGCCTGCGAGTGGGGGCCAGTGTCTCAGACGGGGAGGGGGTCGGGCTCACCGCAAGAATGAGAAGGCAGCTGAGCATCACCAGCGTCAGAGGCTCACAGGTTTGTGTCTGGTTGAGCCGATTACCTGGTGGGGGCGACAAGGGGTAAAGACAAGGCCGTAGCCATTGTTCACTTGGAGCTTCGAATGCCAGTGATGGGTTCGCCGATTTCCACACCTGTGCTAGGAGCTACTGATCCCCAGTATACAGCATCACATGGCGTTAGGTGTTAAGGTTGATTTCTTTTCTGAGAGGGTTCATTCTGAGTGGAGGAGCGTGGTGGGGGCAAGAGGCACGGACCGAGTCACCACACAGACCCCGGGAGTCGGGTGAAAGCAGGCTTGAGGCGAGCAGCCCGCAGACTCATTTATTTCAGTTGCTACAGCTGCTTATATAGCCAACGCAGCCAATCCAGTCAAGGGGCGGTCTATGCCCTAACCAATCACAGCCTGTTGCCAGTCAGGCTCTTGTTGCCAGGCAGTTTCTGAAACCATCCAATCACGGCCTGCTGTAAGTCAGGCTCTGTTGTCATGTGGTTTCCTCTGTTGTCATGTGGTTTCCGAAGCCATCCAATCACGGCCTGTTGCCAGGCAGTTTCTATTGTCAGCGGCCATCTTGGCATGACCTTTTCACCTTCTCACCTTCTCATTCCACCACAGTTAGGTGTTCTGAGTGATGTAGAAAGCTGGCTGAAAGCATCAGGAGGCATTCGTAGGCAAAGCACTTGCACCAAGTTATAAAGGGACTTAGATATCCGGGGCGTTGGCACCTGCAGGGGGTCCTGGAGCAAAGCCGCCACAGAGACCAGAAGATGAGCTGATGGCACAGTGATGATGATGCCGGCCAGGTAGGGATGAAGGCCAGTGCATGACATCTTGGGGATCGGGCGCAAAACCAGGAGAGAGAGGGCGGGCAGCTTGGCGTGGCATAAGTCATTCCCCAAGCCCTTCCCACCCTGGGAAGAGGTACCCCAGGCTGATGGACAGACAGCAGGGTCCTGCCAGAGCAGGCATCCCACTTCTCCTAGGGAACAAGGTTTGATGGCCCTTGGAGGGCATGGGGGCAGGTGGGTGTCCGCCGCTCCCAGGGGCACCAAGCCTTGGGCTCCACATGCACCCTTTTGCACAGGGTGGGTGGGAGGGCAGCCTCTCCTCTCAATCCATCTCTGCCCCTGCCAGTGTTAGGCCTGCCTCCTCCTGGAAGCGGAAATCAGTTGGGATGTCAAGAGCACATCTCACATGGGTTGACAATGTTGAGGGAAGGAGTTGGTAAAGAAGAGACCAGAGCTGGAGCCCAGCCAGGCAACTGGCCGCACCCCGCTGGAAGGCTGGGGCTGGAGACCATCAGCTTACTTCTGCAGAGGCCGTATGGAACCACAGATGGTGTGGCAGCTATACAGCTTTGTAAATTAACAGTTCCACTGAGTGTACACTTAAAAAGTGTTAATGTCACTGTTCCATACACATAGATAACTTCAGGTTTTTTTGTTTGTTTGTTTTTTGTTTTTTTTTGTTTTTTTTTTGTTTTTTTTTTTGACAGGCAGAGTGGACAGTGAGAGAGAGAGACAGAGAGAAAGGTCTTCCTTTTGCCGTTGGTTCACCCTCCAATGGCCGCCGCGGCCGGCGCGCTGTGGCCGGCGCACCGCGCTGATCCGATGGCAGGAGCCAGGAGGCAGGTGCTTTTCCTGGTCTCCCATGGGGTGCAGGGCCCAAGCACCTGGGCCATCCTCCACTGCACTCCCTGGCCACAGCAGAGAGCTGGCCTGGAAGAGGGGCAACCGGGACAGAATCCGGTGCCCCAACCGGGACTAGAACCCGGTGTGCCGGCGCCGCTAGGCAGAGGATTAGCCTAGTGAGCCGTGGCGCCGGCCAATAACTTCAGTTTTTAAAGAAACTAACAGTATTTGTAAGAGGTACAGAATTCTACCCTGGAAATGAAGAAAATACACCAATCAGACGATTGCGTGTCTCTGTCACAGCCTGCGTTTGTTAATGAGCCTCCAGCAGGACAAAACCGTGATTAGATCTGTGTGACTGTGATGCTGATACCCTGATCTCGGGCCTGAAGGAGGAAACAGCCCACTTGCAAGAGTTGTTCTATTTAGTCCAACACTGAACTCCCTTTTGGAAGTAAAGAGATAGAATTGAGTAATGATTAATTAAACATGTTGGCTCAAATCCCAGCTCTGATGCTTCTGAGCCCTATAGGTTGCTTTCCCTTTGGAGTGTTAGAAGATGCCATAGGAGCATTGACCTGAGTGGGTTAGCCACTGCCTGTGACACTGGGCTGATGCTCAGGTGTTCCACTTCCAACCCAGCTCCCTGCTAATACACCTGGAAAAGCAGAGGAAGATGGCCCAAGAGCTTGGGCCTCTGCCACCCACATGGGAGACTCACACGGAGCTCCTGGCTCCTGGCTTCAGCCTGGCCTGGCCCTGGCTGTTGGGACCATTTGGAGAGTGAACCAGTTGATGGGAGATCGGGAGATCTGTCTCTCTCTCTTTTTCCAATAAATAAATTTTAAAAAAACAAAAAGAGCATTGACTCGAATCCCTGCTGAAACACTTCCTTAGCTGTGGAGCTTGGCCTCGTCACCTAAGTTCTGTGTGACTGTGTCTCCCGTCTGCACATGGAGATAACGGTGTTGTGTGGGGCGGTGTGATGACTATATGCATGGCTGCACACAGCATGTTTAGAAGGGCGTCTCCTACACAGACATGCAGCTTCTGGCCCACTGCTACAAAGCAACGTGTTGTGTTCTGTGTCAAGGCTCAGCCATCAGCTTCCCCTCTCGCCCACGCCATGGGAATGCCTTAACTCACCTGGACCCCCCTCATAGGCAGCCAGAGCACAGCAGCCCAGTCAAAGGCGGTTGATCTCTGGACTGAATGGCAGGCGGGCCCGGGCCTTTATCAGAGCTACCCCGAAGACGAGGTGCTCCTCCCACATTTGTGAAACCAGCCCCCGACCCCCACTCAGGCTGTCCACACTCCAGGGGATGGAAGTTCTTGAGACTGATGATCTCTCTTGTCTTTGTCGAAGATTAAACTTTCTTTACCCTCAAACCTTGCCCATGTTGCTTCAGCACCACGAACAGGGACCAAGCTTCGGGCAGCAGCATCTGCGCCCGGAATGGTGGCTGAGCCGTGCTTGGTTCTGGTCAGGACTCCGTGAGGAGGCAAAGCTCAAACTTGGGACTGGGCAGTGGGGAGAATGGCCTCAAGTTGTGTCACAGAAGCCGGCAAGACTAATGGGACAGCCAGGGCAGGACGGGTGTGCCCGGTCCCTAGCACAGACTTCTCCCAGCTTGGAGAACCAGAGCGAGCTGGAGGCCACCCGGGACGCCTTCTCTGCTTGCCGACACAAACCCACGGTCGCTGCAGAGCGCTGGTTCCGAGCGCATTTCGGTTTTCACGGATTGCATTCCCCCACTCGTGGCTCACGGGCGCCCTCTGCTGTCTTCATGGAGAACACAGCCAGCTTCTGGTTGGGAGGAGGGGAGCGCCGTGCCTCCAAGGTTTGCGTTTTCTTCCATTTTGGGGGGGTCCTATTTATTTAGGGGCATCCTAAAGCGCCCCTCCCTTCTCCTCCTCGTCACCAGCTAGTCTCCAAAGGAGACTGCATTCGTCTCCACACCCAGATGCTCCTGCAGTGTCTCCCCACTCAAGGTGGCATGGGGGGGGGGGGGGTAGTGTCGCTCGTTCTCAGGATGGCTTCCCGCCACCCCACCACCCCAGGCTTTCAAGTGATTCTCTCCCGCCCAGCGTAGACTGATGCTGACTTTTCCACCCGCAGAACCTTGCTAACGTTCTTGGCCCTCGCTCACGCCCAAGGTGTGGGGTTTGCATGGTTTGGCGCAGCGCGGAGCTGCCCTGTCCAGGCCGTGTGCGAGCTCCTGGCTTCAGCGTCTGCCCCGGTCGCAGGCTCCGCTTCCCACATCCAGGATCCCAGGATCGAGAAGGGGGATCCCGGATGCCCGGTTGCGTCGTGATGTTCCCGGGGAGTCGCCGTGGCCTTTGCATCAAACGAGGAGACAGAAAACTCTTTTCTCAGAACTTGGACAGTACCGGGCCGGCGTCGTGGCTCAGGGGGTTCAGCCTCTGCCTGCAACACCAGTGGCTCATCTGAGCACCAGTTCAAGCCCCGGCTGCTCCACTTCCAATCCAGCTAGCTCGATCTCTCACTCGCTCTCTCTCCCTGAATAAGCTGCCAGCCCAGGGTCTGGTTGTCCACAGATGTCACTCTTCACCCAGACTCTAAGGACCTGGCGAACATCAGAACCCAGCCCACCCCGGCTCCCCCGGCTGCAGCGCCTTAGAGCAGCTGGAGGGGCGGAGCGAGCACTTCCGGAGCATCAAACGCCCTTGGAATCGGCGCAGGAGGGAATGGACCAACACCTGTAGCTTTCCTAAGCTTGGGAGCAGGCAGGCACAGCCGGGCAGCCGGGCTCCACTCCCAACTCCAGCCTCCTGCAGTGCGGACCCGGGAGGCGGCAGGGCCGGGTCCCCCTCACCCTCCTGGGAGACCTGGGCTGCCAGCCCAAGCTAGTCCCAGCTGTTGCAGGTGCCTGGGGCGTAAACCAGCGGCCGGACGCTCCCTCGCCCGTTCTCGTGTGTCTCCCTCCTCTCAAATTAAAACAGGAACGTGTGCGATGACCCGGGCCCAGCCGACCATAAAACACAGCTACTGCGAAAAGCCGGTCCGCTCCCTGCCAGGGTCCCTGCTAACGCCTCGCTCCCTGTGATCCTTGTGGCGGCCGCAGCCAGCTGGCCACCCCTGACCGCCTCGGCTAAGACTTCCGGCCACTCTCACCCCCAGCGCCGCTGGCCACAGACCAGCGCCGCCTCTGAAGACGTTTCCCCACAGCCGGCCAGGGCCGCGGCGTGGCGGGCCCTCAGCGGCACCACAGAGCGCCGACAGCCTGTCTCTCATGTCTGCATCCGTCCATTCGCCAGCCACCCGCTGCTCGAGTGCGCAGGACCGGAAGTGCGCGTGACCGGAAGCCGCCCGCGAGCCCGCCCTTCTGCACAGCTGTGGCCCGTGAGACCACCTGTACTCTCAGTGCCTCAGCTGAGGGGGCCGCGACGTCCACCGGGCCCCCCGCGCAGGAGACCCCGGCCTCTGTAGGGCTCCCATTCCCCCCTCTCTCTCTCTCACCTGTTGGACTCACGTGGAGGGGCCGCCCCAGGTGCCCCGAGGGCGGAGGAGGCGGGCCCGGCTGGAGGCTATAAAGCCCGAGGCCGGCGGGCAGGCGGGCGGCTGCAGGCGGCTGGACGGAGGCGATGGGCGAGCTGCTGGGCCTGGTGTGCCGTCTGTGGCTGGCCGTCTGCGTGATCCGGCTGAAGGCGGGTGAGGCGGCCCCGGGGCGCGCGGGGGGCGGCCGCGCGGTGGTGGTCCCAGAGGGTTCCAGGCCTGGGGCCTCCCACCGTGGGCCCGGCTTCTCATCCGTGTGAGAGGGGTTGTACTCTGTAGGAAGGGGGCGGGGGAGGAGCTGCTTATAAGGGATTTGACGTCTTTTGTGGAAAAATAGAATTAAAATATCAGTTTATTTGGGTGCAAAAAAATGAAATCTATCCATAGGGTTTTTTCAATAATGCACATTTTCTTTCTTTTTTTCTTTTTATAGATTTATTTGAAAGGCAGAATTAGGGATCTTCCATCCACTGGTTCTCTCCCCAGGTGGCTGCAATGGCTGGAGCTGCACCTCTCCGAAGCCAGGAGCCAGGAGCTTCCTCCAGGTCTCCCACGTGGGTGCAAGGGCCCAAGGACTTGGGCCATCCTCCACTGCTTTCCCAGGCCACAGCAGAGAGCTAGACCGGAAGTGGAGAAATGGGGACTCGAACCAGCCCTATATGGGATGCTGGCACTGCAGGCGGTGACTTTAGCTGCTACGCCACAGCAGTACACGTTTTCTAAGAACATTTGAAGACCCCTTATTTGTACTGTTTTGGAAATGTCTCCACAATCCATTGTTAAGGGAGCAAGGAACAAAATAGTAGACAGATGAAGCTATCCTATATATATATATATATATATGAAACAAGGAATGGTGATTAATACACACTTGACTGGATCCTCATACTGATTCTGTGCATTTCGTAAGAGTCACGGGGGGGGGGGGCAGCGCTGTGGCACAATGGGTTAAAGTCCCGTCTACAGTGCCAGCATCCAATATGGTCTGAGGTTCGAATCCCAGCTGCTGCACTTCCAATCTGGCTCCCTGCTAATGGCTGGGAAAGCATCCAGAGGATGGCCCAAGAGCTTGGGAGCTTGCACCGTGCACCCATGTGGAAGACCCAGAAGAAGCTCCTGGCTTCGCCCTGGTCCAGTTGTTGCAGCCATCTGGGGAGTGAACCAGCAGATGGAAGACCTCTCTGTCTCCACCTCTCTCTGTAATTCTTTTATTCAAATAAATAAAATAAATCGTACAGAGTGAGAGAAACTTTGTACAGAATGTACTCTGTACAGAAGAAAAAAGTCACTTGAGTAAACCTTTAGGACAGGTGACAGGGGCCAGAGATGGTTAGGGAGATTTTAACATTTTCCCCTTGAGAATGCCTTTGAAATCTGTAAACAGATCAATAGATGACAAATGATCAATCTCTCTCTCTCCCTCCCTCTCCACCCTCTCCTCCCCCCCCCCTCATTGTAATGATTAAAGTAAAAAAGAGAGAGAGAGAGAAAGAAAACCCTTCTTAGCACAGAATCCACCTGGCAAGTTGGCCGAGTTGGGTTTGTCACTGCAGTCGGAGGGGTAGCACAGGGTGTCGGAGGCAGAGAGCTAGAAAGAAGCCGGACTTTGGATGAGCAATTTGCAGGGGGGCCTAAGGGAGCGAGATGTGCTCCAGATTGGGTGCTGACGGGCGGGGGATGCTGCGGCAGGCTGTCCCGCTCAGCCTCAGCTGTAGAGAACACAGTGGACTCCGTACGCAGCAGCCATCATTCATCGCAGCCGAGAGAGGGACAGCACTGGGTAACTGCGAGTGGCCTGAACTCCCCCAAGATTTGAAGTGGCCCCAGAGGAACCCTGTGTGAGGTGCCGTGAGGCTGCCCATGCCCACGACAGGGGAGCTGTGAGGACGTGGTCATGTGTGAAACATCAGCAGACGGCATGGTCTGAAGGGAACAGCTGCTGGCCCTGTTGGTGGACGTGTGGACAAAACACACATGAAAGTATCTCTCTGTTCTTTACCTGTAAAACCCGGAGGTGGCCGCAGAGGTTCAAGACAGCAAGGAGGAAAAGACTGCCAAGACTCTCTCAATGGCTGTGTGACTGGACAAAGAGTTCACGGGAAATGCTGCCCCCCCCCCCCCGCTTCTCTGACCGGCAGTAACCTCCACTCACGCCTGCACCTGGAGGAGGTTGGCTTGGCAGTAGCGCCCCCAGGAGGCAGAATTGCCCCAACCTGGTGTCCAGGGCGGGGAGGACACCTGCACAGCTCCTTGGTTCTGGACTCCAGGGTGTGTGATTTCCCCAAGCCGCCACTTTTTTTTTTTTAATGTGTTTGAGAGGCAGAGAAAGAGATCTTCCATCTAGGGCTTCACTCCCCAAATGCCCACAACGGCCAGGGCTGGATCAAGCTGAAGCCGGCAGCCAGATACTCCATCTGTATCCCATGGCTGGCAGGGACCCAAGTGCTTGAACTGTGCGTGACCTGCTGTCTCCCAGGGCGCTTGAGCAGGAAGAAAGAATCAGGAGCACAGCCAGGACTTGAACCCAGGTGTTCCAGGATGGGGCAAGGGTGTCCAGATGCCCCCCCCCAAGCCTCCATCTCTATCCACAAAACAAAGAGCAAGATAACATATATAGCAGTAGTGGGGGCAAGCATTTAGCCCAGCATCTGAGATGCCTGTCTCACGTCCAAGCGCCTGGGTTCAAGTCCCAGCTCGAGCTGCTGACTCCCGCTTCCTGCTAATGTAAACCCTGGGAGGCAATGGAGATGGCTCAAATGATGGGGTCCCTGCCACCCATATGGGAGACCTGGATTGAGTTCCCAGCATCTGGCTTTGACAAGGCCCAAGCCTGGTCATTGCAGCCCTTTGGAGTGAACCAGAAGATGGGAACGGGTGTCCGTTCTCTCCCCCCACTCCTCCCTCCCCTTCTGCCTCTCAGATAATTATAAATAGAAGTATAACACATAAATGTGATATATAACCCAGCAACCTAAGATTTATCATCTTGAAATCAAAGTCCAGTGCACAAGGGTTGAGTTCCTTGCACAAGTGGTGCCGGGAAGCTGCTGCGGTTTGTTTGGCTGTAGCTTGCCCCACCCCCGCCCCAGGGCTCCCGTATTGACCTCTGCTTCTCATTGTGAGGGGTGCAGAGGCTGGAAACTTAACTGGAACATGATGTTTACACCTTGAGAGGTGATTGGGATTGAATAAGACCATCAGAGCAGAGCCCCTGTGATCGAATCCTGGTGACTCTGTAAGAGGGAGAAGGACCAGGACACACACGCACGCACACACCCCCACCTCTTGCACTTCCCCAGGACTCTGCCAGCAAGACTCTGTCACCAGTTGCAGTCCCTTGCCCTTGCCCTCCAGAACCGTGAGCCAAAACAAACCTATTTCTGTTAAAGTTTACCCAGCATTGGCATTTGGCTATTAGCAGTGGAAACACACTCTGCCCGAGATGATGCCAACACAGAGATCATGTGTGGACCAAGCCCCGGCTGCACGTGGTACAGACACATGGTTCTCGGGGTTGAGCAAGCCTGTGACAGTGTCACCTCCCTCTAACCCTTGATGACGGCCACACAACTCTGGACAGTTCAGTTCTTTGTGGCAGCTTTCCGTAAGGTTTGTATCTGTGAAACAGTCTGGGGAAGGGGGAGCAGAGAGAGAAGGAGCCTATGAGTTACAGCAGTCTCTCCCTCCTGCGGCTGCCATGGTGGTTGGAGGGAGGCAGTGAGCGGCTCACAGTGCTAGTGGAGGTTGCAACACAGTGGCTCTGTGTACAAGCCTGGCTATGGCTCAGAGACAATGACAAACCATCAGGAATGCTGAGGCCCTGGCAGCGTGAATGCAGTGTTGTCTCCTGAAATGCTGGCCTGTGGCCAAAGCCCACGGGTGCCCTCTGGTCTCCACTCATGAGGGCTGCCAGGATCGAAACAGTCTCTTGTCCACCCTAACCGAAAAGAGGATGAAAGAACTGGGGAGCTTCTGAAGAAAGGGTTCTCCCACAATGCCTGGGCACAAGACTCGGCCAGAGCCTTGCACAGAAAGTGCTTCTACAAAGACACCTGCCCAGCAACCATGCGGCCGACCTCAGACTCACCCCACCCCATTGATGAAGCCGCCTGGCCGAAGATGTTTGTTTTCAAAATGTTTCCGTACTCGTGTCATCCTTTGCGAACCGCCCCTCACTTCAACCCCCTTGGATGCTCCCACAGTGTGCCAGGGCCCACAGATTCCCACCGCCATGCTCTGTATTCCCAAGTAAACATTCTTTGGAGAATCTCGCTCTCTCTAGTTGTTAGTCAGATGGACTTTTGTGTGGCGTTCACGCAAGGTGGAGGATGGGTAGATTGATGACCTACAGAGAATGTTTGCAAGAATCGGAGTCACATCTCGTCAGCAGGCCTTGTGGTGTAGACCCATGCCCGCCCCTTACCTGCCCCCGCCCCAGTTGGAAGTATTCCTACACCATCCAAGATGTGGTGTTGTCTTCATTTCAACAAGAGAACAGCTGGTTGTGTGAATTTCCAGGTACTTTCTGGGCACAGCATATTGCAAAAGACAGTCTACATCTCCTCTATTTTATTTTTCTCTTTCAGATTTGATTACCCACTTAAATCTTCCAAAACCAGGTAAGGAGAGAATCTCTTTGCTTGGCAGCGTCTCCTATGTCTGCCTGCACCCCTTCCATGATAGTACATTCTGGAAAGTTCCTGGTGCTTTCCTGCACTTTGACCCTTCCCTTTGCTCTTCTTCTGGCATGACCGGCTCACCCAGGTACCAGTGGCCACTTCAGACACAAATTGCAACGTCCAGAGCAGTCAGGTACACCAGGTGTTCACTGGTGCCCCGCCAAACACCCTCTTCTGTGTTGCAGCTAACACCAGCATCGGGGGAGAAGGGCTTTCTGTAAATTGTTCATTTTCAATTGGCAAATAGTAATTGTCTGAGGGGATTCTGAAAAGTTCATGGAAAATGCAATTAAAAGATAAACTTACAGGGCATGCATTTGGCATAGCACTTAGGATGCCGCTTGGGACATCTGCATCATGACAGAGTACCTGGTTTGAGCCCCAGCTCCTCTGCTGTAACCCAGCTGCTGACCCTGGGAGGCAGCAGTGATGGCTCAAGTACTTGGAGACTGGGTTGAGTTTCCAGCTCCCAGCTGCAGCGTGGCCCATCCCCTGCTATTGCAGGCATTTAGGGAGTGAGCCAGTAGCTGGAAGATCTGTCTCCCTGCCTTTCAAGTAAATTTTTAAAACTAATAATAAAAGGATTTTTCAAAAAAACAAAATAAGCTTATTTTGGTGAGAAAAATCATACACAGTTTTTTCATAATAGCACTTTCCATCACCAGTTTGGAAACAGTGCATGGATTTCAAATTTGGGGGCACCAAAATAAACTCACCTTTTAATTCCATTTATGGACTTTTTCTAGTACCCCCATATACATTTACAGAGTACAGCGTGATGTTTTAGTACATGTTTACATTTCCAAATGCTCACTTGAAGCTAATTCACACAGCCGTTGCTTCACATGCATCCGCGTATTGTAAATCTACGCTTTCCACCATTTTGAAATATACATTATGACAAACTCGCCATACTGTGCACTAGGAAGCTTGTTCCTCCTGACTGGAACTTTGTACCCTGTGATCAGCATCGTCCCACACCCCAGCCCTGCTAAGCACTCTACTGCTGTGAGTTCAACTTCAAAAAAAAAAAAAGAAAGAAAAATTGTGTGTGTCATTGTTGGTGTGCTTGTTTGTTAATTTTAACAGCTAGATCATGGTATAATCTCTCTACCATAATATCCGCCGATTCCAAGTGCATTTTTAATGACTTTTAGCCAATTTACAGGGTTGTGCAAATGTCACCACAACCCAGTTTCAAAATGTTCCCATTGCCCCAAGAAAAGACCCCTTGTGCCCATCGGCATCCCCCTCCCCACCCTACCCTGGGCCCTAAGCGGCCACTCCTCTGCTTTCTACCCCTACAGATTGGTCTTTTCTGGAGATTGCATATAAGTGGAGTCATCCTCGTGAGCTTCTGTGTCCGTTTCTCAGTTTAAAAAGGTCACGATGAGGCTCGGACATCTCTGTCACAGTTCTTGGGAGAGCTGAACTGGAACTGCATGTAGATGTCTAAAGTTGATTTGCATCTGTAGCTCTTATGAGGTTGGGGGTTTCAAGGGAAATCTCTCTGGGGATCGTCATCCCTTCGTAACTCATCATGAAAATGTCCATCACTTCTTAAATATTTCAGTCGCCAGTTACTGTGAAGCAGTGTCCACGAGAGTGGACAGTGGGTTTCCCTGTGAATGGGGAGCACGTGCTGAGGACCCAGGATGACCTCAGGAGGGGGCAGGAGCAGTGGGAGCCATGGCTTCCCTAAGCCCAGAGAAAGATGGGCAAGTGCTGTCTGACCCCAGCACCCACACGGTGGTCCCTGGGCTGCTGGGCTGAGCCCGGCCATGAAGGGCCCCAGCTCTGAATCCTGCAGCCTGCCTTGGAATCCCAGCGTTGCCCTTTATTAGTGAGTTCCAGCCTTTCTGTGCTTCCATCTTCAAATCCATGAAATGGCCACATAACAGGGCCTGGTTTACGGGCCTGGGTCAGGACATCGTGGGAGGCAGCGGCATCTGTGCCTGTGCAGGGCACGCCCAGTGCGTGTGGGGCTGCGTGCAGCAGGGACAGCCCTTCCCAAGTTCACAGAAATGCAATCTAAGGGTAAGTTTATTTGGGCCCCCCAAAATCTTAAATCCACACATACGGTGGATCTGTACAGAATTCAAGGAGAATGTGTATGGTGAAAAAAATCATGAATGGATTTCAAAAAGTTTTTGGACTGCAATAAACTTATCTTTTAGTTCCATTCTCTGAGCTTTTTGAAGTGCCTTTATATAAACAAGTGAATAAAATAATGTGAAATAATAAAAATTGCTCAATTCTAATTTTAAAATTAATACTATCAGATACACAATATAGTTAACTAATAAATGTTCAGTTGTCAATATATAAACTATTGTTAAATACTAATGTGTCAATAATACTTTTTCATAATTCAAATAAGTGCATCTTGTGTCAACATTATTTCAGGCTCAGGGAGGCCAGCCATTATTAAGCTTCTGTCAGCTCTCAAGTTTCCATTTCTAGGAGTTGATCCTGTGAGTCTGGCTGGTCGCTTCTGATAAGAAATTAAGGGTTTTGAAAAGACAAGTGAAAGCAAAGGGAACTTGGAAGGAAATTCAGTGCAGGTGGACCCAGCTGTGTCTGGATGTTCAAGAAGGTTCTGCAGAGACTCCGGTTACGCAGAACTCAAGAGGTTGGTTGTGAGGCAAAGGGCAGGAAAGAGGGTGCCACCGTGGAGACCCCTCCGCAGGTCTGAGCCGAGAGGACGTGAGCAAAGAGGGTAGCCGCAGGGCTGGCATTGCCTTTGGGGACCTGACCGAGTCGGGTGACATCAGCTGCTACACTGCTGTCTCTGATCCTAGGGCAGTGGGCTCTAGGCAGGTCGGTGGCAGCATGAGTGACAGGCGGGAAAGAAGTCACCACTGTCCTCCAGGCGAGGCGAGGCGCCCGGGCAGAGGAAAGCGGGAGGCCCGGGAGACATCTTGGAACTACCTTCTGCCGGCTGAGGAGTTTCTCTTTCTAGGGGAGAGGGAGGAAAGGGACTGAAAGCAGGAGGAGTCCAGAGTTTGGGTTTAGGAAGATCCGGTGCTGCCTGCAGCCTGTGTCCAGCTCGGGGCTGCAAGAAGTCTTCCCGTGACAGTCGCTTTGATTTCCTGCCAGCCCAGGAGAGGCAGTCAGTGAACCCAGCCGCGCGTGGGCGTGGGGATGGGGAGGGGGCAGGATATTCAGCTGACGCCCCCTCTGTGCACCCGCCCTCTTTTCCAGACATTCCTTCCACCCCGTGCGTCTTTCCATTCACCTATGCCGACGTGATGCACTACAACTGCATCTCCGTCCACAGCGACTTTGACTGGTGTTCTCTGGACAGTCAGTTCCAGGGCAGATGGCGGTACTGCCTGTCCAATGGTGAGCATCCAGATGCCCAGGGCCCAAGAAGCAGGTGCTGGCAGGTGGACCAAGTTCAACTCCTGACTCCCACTCAATCTTAACCACTCTGAAATCAAAGTCCAGAAAAAAGAAGCACGATGTGGAGGGTGGGTGTTTAGCCCAGCAGCTAAGACGCCCGGGTCCCTTGTCCCACGTTGGAATCCCAACTCCAGCTCTGACTCCGACTTCCTGCCGCATGCAGACCCTGAGAGGCAGCAGTGACGGCTCAAGTGATGCCGCCCACGTAGGAGACCCGACTGAGTTCCTGGCTCTCGGGCTGGCGCAGGCATTTGGGGAATGAACCAGCAGATGGGAGTCTCTCTCTCTCTCTCTCTCTCTCTCTCTCTCTCTCTCTCTCTCTCTCTCTCTCTCTCTCTCCTTTAAATGCTTTAAAGGAAAAGCTTGTGGTGGAGTACTTAGGCAATGATTCTTCTCCATATCTCCCCTCCCACCCTTTCCCCTCTCTGCAGATCCCCCCCAGTGCACTTTTCCCTTCTTCTTCAAAAAGAAGGTCTTTTACCAGTGCACCAAGGAGGACTACATTCTGGACCGGAGCTGGTGTTCACTGACGAAAAACTACAACAAAGACAAGAAATGGAAGCAGTGTTCCCCTCGGAAGTAAGGCGGGGGGGGGGGGGGGAGGCGCAGGCGGGGGTCTTGAGGACCCCTTGCAATAACGGAGGGAGGAGCTTCCGGTTAGATGGTGCGGTGGTGGCTTGGGCCAAAGGTCAACGCAGCGCCCACAAAGGACGCACCAGCAAGCACTCCGGGCTTAGCGGGACCTGGGTCCCTGTCAGGACGCGAAACCGAATCAACAGCACGGTGTCACTCGTGGGCCCTGAAATTGGAATTGGAATCCTGTACGGTTTTCGGGTGTCACAAAGCATTAGACTGACTGGTTGGGTGGGTGGTTTTCTTTTGAAAGGCAGAGAGATGAAGGAGATCTCCCATCTGCCGGCCCACTCCCCAGATGTCACAATCCGGGTCTCCCACGGGGGTGGCCTGGGCCCAGGCACCTGAGTCACCACCTGCCACCTCCCAGGGCAGCACTGGCGGGAAGCTGGGTTGGGAGTGGAGCTGGCGCTGGAGCTCTTCGACCTCAAAAAGCACCACGGGAGTTCCATCTTTGCGCCGCCGGTGCGGCAGGAGTCACCGACGCCCTGAAGGCAACCAGTTCCGGCGGTTCTGACCCACGCGGGCGCGCCCTTAGCGGCCTCTGAGTCTGGGGCGGCGACTCCCAGAAGCTGATTGGCTAAGAGGCTCAGGCGTTGGGGCTGTCTCCCGGAGACTGATTGGCTAAGACACCCAGGAGCGTTGTCTTCTAGAGGTTGATTGGCCAAGACGCTCTGGGACTTCGTCTCCCGGAAGCTGATTGGTTAAGACGCTCGGGCGCGCAGGACAGGTTCGCGCCCATAAAATGGAGTCTGATGAGGGAGACGATGACTGAAAAGCTGAGGCCAGAGCCCACGAGAGGGGCCGCTGGTCGGTGGTCTCTCTGCGGTGCCTCATTAACGTGATGGGGCTGACCGCTGCGTGTGGGCACAGCCCAGGCCCCCTGGGCTTCCGGTTCCTGTAACCACTTCTGGGGTCATGGCGGAAGGTCAGTGAGAGGCCGTTCGCGGGGTGGCGAACAAGTCTCAGGACCTGCGGGCACTGCAGGAGGACCCCCGAAGTGGAGGGAGTGGTGAGTTTCTTAAGCTGCCAAAAAAAACCTCGTAATTGAAACCCGTGCTTGGTTTTCGTCCTGTGACCTCGTTGAGGACCCCTGGCGTCCGCCGACCCCGGGGAAGGGCATGCGTGTGTGCGTGCGCTTCCCGTCACGGGCACTTGGGACCCGGCGGCGGCCGTGCCGCTGGCCCTGTGCGCCACTGGCTGGCTGGCTGGCCGGCCGAGCCTTTCACCGGTTGTGCGGCGTGCTGCGTAGACGCGGGCCCGCAGCCGCCTGGGACTCAGCTGCGACCCCTCGGTGCCCTGAATGGGCAGGGGGCGACTGGCTGCGGGGCCTCCCGCGGGATCCCCTTGATTTCAGGGGGAGTCTGCACAGCCGGACCCCACCCTGCGGTGGCTATCTGCTGGCCACCTGTCCCTGTGAAGGCGTCACCCCCACCCCTGCTGTTGTCACCACCCCGGGCTGGGAGGGGTCCGGGGTCCAGCCCCACCTCCATCTTCCACCTGCTCTCCTGTCTCAGATCAGGTTCTCAGACACACCTCTGTCTATCTGCTTCCTCTCTTGTGGATTGCCTTGGCCTAAAACATTTAAGATAAGAATAATTCACTTTACAACCATAAAGTTATTGGGTTTAAGAACCAAGGAAGGGGTAGGTGTTTGGCTTGGCACTTAAGAGATCATTTAGGGCACCCACATCAGAGTGCCTGGATTCGGGCCAGCATTAGACTCCAGCCAATGCAGGCCCTGGGAGGCAGCAGGTGAGGGCTCAAGTGATCGGGTTCCTGCCACCCATGTGGGAGACCTGGACTGAGTTCCTGGCTCTCAGCTTTGACTCCAGCACAATCCCAGCCTGTGGAAAGAGCCAGCAGACATTGTAAAGGGGAATCAGTGTTTGGCTCCATTAATTACAGCGCCTATAATGTTGAAAGCCTTATTGCAAGAGAAGATTGTCGGAGGGGCTCACCGCTCCCTTTCACAAGGGATGTTCAACTTCCTGTGTGAAATTATCTCTTCCTCCCACCCCGGCGACCTTTCTTCTCTGAAAGACCATTCACACAGCAGCTCGAAAAGAAACCCTCGGAGCAAGTGCTGACATAATTTTCCAATTTCTCCACCTCCTTGCGCCTGTATTCTTTGTAAAATGGGCATTTAACACATAACCACTCCCAACCACTTCATAACCATTTATGGCGGCCACAGAGCTGGGCATAATTCATTGGCCACTCCTCAGGGAGTGGCTCTGATGAGCAAGGCAGTTTGATTCTGTAAAACATTCAGAGTGATGCTGATAAGGAGTCCCCGTGATGTCACATGTGTCACATGTATGCATTTTTCTTGTTCTTCGCTTTCCTCCCTTCTTCTTGTTTCCCCTCCCTGTCTTAATATTTCCAATCTTCTAAAGAATAATTTCAAAAGCAAGGACAACATTATGTAAAATGAAAAATGATGTGAATGAGAAGTAGGTGAAAAAATAAGACAGGATGAATGAGGTATAGAAAGGAGCCTGTCTTGAGGGTGGAGGTTGAAGGAAAGATGTACTTCCTTTGCACCTGCTACAAACAGGTGATATCTGGACCCTCCCTGAGCCAGCCGCCATGCCCTTTGACCAGGGGATTTCCAGTCTGTAGAACTTTTTTTTGAAGATTTATTTATTTATTTATTTGAAAGTCAGAATTACACAGAGAGAGAAGGAGAGGCAGAGAGAGAGGTCTTCCCTTCGCTGGTCCACTCCCCAATTGGCTACAATGGCTAGAGCTGCCCCAATCCAAAGCCAGGAGCTCCTTCTGGGTCTCCCACGCTGGTGCAGGGGCCCAAGGACTTGGGCCATCTTCTACTGCTTTCCCAGGCCATAGCAGAGAGCTGGATCGGAAGTGGAGCAGCCAGGACTAGAACTGGCATGCATATATGGGATGCCGGCACTGCATATGGTGGCTTTATCTGCTACGCCAAAGCGCCGGCCCGCTAGAATTTCCATTGTACAGATGCATCCTAAAGGGAAAGTTGGACACGTGTACAGATACAAAGACGAAGGAATGATTCTGACAGTGACAAAAGACAGCCAAGGTCAAATCAGGTAATAGGCACTGTGAAATAGAGTACTGAAATCAGGTTCCAAGGTTGACAGCAATGTGTGAAAGTGCTCAAGAGATAACGTAATGGTCAAAGGTAAGCAACTTCAAGAAACACAGAAAGTTCAAAGCACAGATATTTATATGAGGGGTCTTCAAAAATCTCAGAGACACCTATGATGCAAAAATGGTGCATGGTTTTCAAAAGTTTTATCCACCAAAATAAACTCACCTTTTAATTTTGTTTTCCCATGAGCTTTTTGAAGTACGCTCATATCACGAAGGTAGGAAGAGAATGTTCTGGACAGAGACAGTGAGGAAGTGTTAATACTGGTCACCTTTGCGGGTTGTTGGCACCATTCACATTCTTTGTATATCTTTACGTACCATCTAATATTTGTAGTCATAGGTATGCATTTTTATTTTAACATTTAGTTTGATGTTTGCACAATTAATACCTGAGTAAGTTCTCATTTAAACGTCAAAATGGCACATGACTGTGGGGACTCACATTAATCTTCCTCTCACTTTTCTCTCTTCCCTTTCTATTCCCTTTTGAAGCAGAAATACAGTAAACAATTCAGTGTGCTCTTTTAGGTTTATTCTGTATTTTTTATTTTTTTTTTAAGATAGAGTTACAGAGAGAGGTCTTCCATTCCGCTGGTTCACTCTTGACCACAATGGCCAGAGCTGAGCTGATCTGAAGCCAGGAGCCAGGAGTTTCTTCTGGGTCTCCCACGTAGGTGCAGGGGCCCAAGGACTTGGGCCATCTTCGCTGCTTTCCCAGGCCATAGAAGAGAGCTGGACTAGAAGTGGAGCAGCCTAGACTCAAACCAGTGCCCATATGGGATGCTGGTGCTGCAGGCTGGGGCTTTAACCCACTGTGCCACAGTACCGGCCCCTGTACTTTTTCATATTTGCAGATGTCTTTAAGATATTTTTCAACATTAATGAATTCTACTCTCCCCCTTTGTCCTGTGAGTGTTAAGCAGGCAGAGCAGAGCAGTTAAGCTTGGGGCATCCGCATCCTATATCAGAGGGCCCAGCTACCTCAGTTCCGATCCAGTTTTCTGCTGATGCGCACCCTAGGAGGCAGAGGTGATGGCTCAAGTAATTGGGTCTCTGCCACCCACTTGGGAGGCCCTGATTGAGTTCCAGTAAATAAATAAATAAACATTATGAAGCTTTTCCATGAGAATGTATCAATCCACTTCTCCTTTCTCCATGATTTTACCAAACTTCATAATGTGGTTGTGTCATTCTGCTACTAAAGTATGGTTTGATTGTTTTAAATATTTTTAGATTCCCATGACCAAGTGGTTTTCTTTTCCACTGATCTTTGAGGAAGTTCTGTTTTGTTTTTCATTGGAATGGCTGAATAAAATCACTGGGTCAAAGGATATGTCCATTGTGTATGACAGTGGATGTGTGTGCAGCTTAAATTCTAACTTCCAATCATGTTCTATCAAAATTATAAGAAGCCCATTTTTAACAACTTTCTCAACACTGAAAAGGATCAGTGTGATAAATTTTGTCTCCAAAATGGGCCACAAAGCTAATATGATCATTAAAGTAATCCATCATGGTACTTCAGCCTCAGAGAGAAAGGAATGTTGCAGCCTTCCTAGGACTCTGGTCTCCCCAAGGCATGCCCGTCCTTTAGCTGTTCTGCTGAGTCACGGGTGTTTGTGAGTTCTGAGGTAGACCAGCTCTCCCGTCAGGGAGCAGAGCCAGCTATCTGTTGGGGGGGGGGGGGTGATATGTTATCATACAAGTCCTAACTTCTCTTTTTCCTCCCCAGTAATTAGATCAGTCTTGGTGGTTTTTGAAGAAGCAGAAGTCACAGATTCAACAGTTGCCTCTCAAAACAGAACCCTGCCCTTCCCAGCAATGACCATTCTGATGTAATAAATAAATTCATGACCTCCTTTTCGCAGGAAGGGCTCCTTTTCTTGGGAGAAAACAAACAGGACAATGCCCAGTGGTGCCCAATCCAGTGTGGACCAGTGTGGGTGGTAAAACCTGGAGAGAGTTTGTGGGGAAGAGTTGGCTTCCAAACCAAAACCCTGACTATTTGCTGATAGCCTGATCCTGGGCATGTTAACTCAAGTTTCAGAGAACTTTAGCCTTCCCCTTATGCAGTTGTAATACTTTTTATGTGAAAGGCAGAGTGACAGAAATGGGCCGGGGTGGGAGAGAGAACAAACTTCCATCCGTTTGTTCACTCCCCAAGTGACCACAGGAGCCAGGGCCGGGCCAGGTCGAAGCCAGGAACTCATCCAGGTCTCCTATGTGGGTGCAGAGGCCCAAGCACTTGTCATCTTCTGTTGCTTTTCCAGGCACATTAGCAGGGAGCTGGATTGGAAATAGAGCAGCTGAGACATGACCCAGGTGCTCAGATATGGGATACCTGCATTGCAAGCAGTGGCTTAAGCCCTGTGCCACAACACCAGCCCTGCAATTTAAAACATTTTAGGTTAAAGTAAAACTTTTATTTTTAATTTTGAAATGAAATTTACATGACATGCAGTTGACCATTTAAAAGTGAAAACCCCATGCATATTATGCAGTCACAAGGCAGCACAGCCATCCCCTTACCTAATTCACATTTCCATGGCTCCACATGGAAGCCCTGCACCCATGAAGCAGCCGCTCCCAACCTTTCCCCCCGCCCCCAGCCCTTGGTGACCATCAGCCTGCTCCCTGCCTCTGTACATTTGCCCATTCATGCATGACCTTCAGTGCTTGACTGCCTTCACTCAGCATAAGGTTTTCAAGATTCATGCCATCACACATCTGTCAGTATTTAGTTCCTTCTTGTGGCCAAGTGATGTTCTGCTGTGTGGACAGGCCATGTGCTCTTTATCTTTGAATATTCATTTTTAAAGTATACATGTTGGGCCAGCCCTGGGGCTCAGCAGATTAAGGTGCTGCTTGTGACACAGGCATCCTCTACCTGAGCTCCTGGTTCAAGTCCCAGCTGCTCACTTCCAGTCCAACTCTCTACTAATGTGCCTGGGAAAGCAGAAGATGGCCCAAGTACCTGGGCCCTTACCACCCACGTGGGAGACCTGGATGGAATTGTAGACTACTGGTTTCAACCTGGCCTAGCCCTGGCTGTTACAGCCATTTGGGGAGTGAATTTGGAAATATGAAAGATCTTTCTCTCTCTGTCTCTCTGTCTATCCTGGCCCCTGTTATTCTGGCTTTTGGAAAAATAAAAATAAATCTTCAAAACAAAACAAAACAAAAGTCTGCATATTTTTGTGCAGACCCGGGCGAATTTTCATAGGTTGAACCTTCCATGTCATTGACAATCGCGGCGCCCTCTGCAGGCCTGACTCACCAAGGGTAACCCCCAGCTTGGATTCATTTTACATCTTTTTGTGTTTTGTATAAACTGGACCACTCTCCCTCAGTGTTGTGCTGTGTGATTCACCCAGATTGCCCTGTGTAAACACAGAGCCTCCATCCTCACAGCTGTGTGAACGCTGTGTCCATTTGGCTCTTCAGCCATTGCTATCCACAGGAGACAGACTCTGGGACCCTAGTGGATACCAAAATCCACCGAGGTTCAAGTCCCCTTAGGAAAAACAGTGCCATATTTGCATAGAACCTGTCCACGTTCTCCCACTGTAGCTCATCTCTAGATGATTTACAGCACCTAAAGTCACAGCGTAAACTGTATTCATGCAATTTTTTGTCAAAATTTTCAGTGCACTTTTGAGTCCATGCATGCAGAAGCCAGGAAGGCAGAGGCTGACTGCTGCAGTGAGCATTGCGGGGAGAGAGAGAAAATGTACCTCCAGCCTCAGTAATTACCCAGGGATCTGGAAGGTGGCTCAGGATGCAGCTTCTTACCCTGTCTCCCTGCTTGGACTCATGACCCAGTCAGAGTCATGATTCTTCTGACTGATGGCCGGGGTGAAAGAAGACTTTTCTGTGAGCTACTTGAATGACTGGGACACCCAGTGGAGATGCTTTAACCTTGTTCCTTTTCATGAGGCAAACGGTCACAGGGGGCAGGGGAGAATGAAGAGGATGGTGCCAAATCCAGTTCTGTTCAATTCTTCTTCTGCCCTTCCCTTCATTTGGTTCTTCAAGTTGATCTTCTCCTTGCTGCTGAAGTTAATGCCATTCCCAGCCATCCTGGAGTCCCCCGTTTCACTGGCCTCACTCAGCTTCCACTCCCATCTATGGTGTACCCCTAAAGTCCGAGGCACATACAAAGTCTTACTGAATCCACCCCTCAGATTTAGCAACTTGATACCTAAAATATGCAAGTGCTTCCATCTGGATGTTTGCCTCACTCAAAAAAAAATTCCTCTGTTGAAACCTAACCTGTACGGTGGTAGCGTCAGGAGGCAGGGCATTTGAGAGGGGACTGGGTAATGAAGGTGCCACCTCCTTGGAGGAGGTGCCCTTGTGAGTGAGCCCCAGAGGGACTCTTCACCCCTTCCACAATGTGAGGACACAGCAAGAAGTTGTCACCTATGAACCAGACACGGGCCCTCACCAGACCCCCAGCCTGCCTTGAGCTTGGACCTCCCAAGAGCTACAAGACACAAGTTCCCATCATTTGTAAGCCCCCCAGCTTGTGGCGTTTGGTTTTAGCAGAAAAAAAAGTGAGGAAATTGAACCCAGACAGGGTGATTTCCCATGGCCAACCCAGTGCTACCTGGTAGACAGGGTGAACACAGATCTGGTTACTCACCATGTTTGTGCATCTCATTGCTGTGATTAAATGCTTGAGGCAGGTTAACTGTAGAGAAAGGAAGTTGATTTACTTCACTCAGGAAGATTCAAGGCCACGGCACCAACTCCAGCTCAATTCTTGTGAGGCAGGAGCCTGTGTGAGCAGCAGAGAGCCTGTCCCCAAACAGGAAACCAGAGAGAGACTCAGGCTCACACTTGCAGCTCCTAGACCGCTCCTCCAGGGTCAGGGCCTCAGTGACCCAAGGCCCTCACACTGGGGCTGCCTGTTAAAGGTCCGACCACCTCCCAACATCACCGCCAACACCTGAAGCCTAGAGTTGACATTCGAGCCACGTACTCGTCATGCTTCTGTTTTGACTTCTGCGTCTTCAGTGCCTTTCACAAGACCATTTCCCCTGCATGGGATCCAGGCATTGTCTCTCATCTCAACAGTGGCCGCCTTGCATCCTGCACTGGCAAGACAACATATGCACCCACAGACTTGCTGCTGGAGAGCCAAGTTAGTGCAAACCCAGTGCTCCCGTTCTCAGTCGCATGAAGGGATACACAGGTAGCTGTTGAAGCCTTGTTGTGGGGTCTGTGGGAGCATGAGTCTCTGCAGAAGACCTTGGTGTTTGAGTCAGTGGGCTGAAGAAGGAAGATCCACCCTTGGTGTGGTTGGCCATCATCTGGTCAGCTCAGAGCCCAGATGGAATAAAAAGGCAAAAGAAGGGTTAGCTTGCTGTCTGCCTCCCTCTGCTCCTGCCCTTGAACAACAGAAGTGTCGGTTCTCTGGCCTTTAAACCCCAGGACCTCCTATTCCAGCAGCTGCCCAGGGCCCTCGGGCATTTGGCCTCAGACTGAGTTAGACCATTGGCTGTCTTTTTTCTGAGGCCTTTGAACTCAGACTGGATCCCAGCACTGGCCTCCTGAGTTTCCAGAAAGGCTACAGCAGGCCTGTCATGGGACCTGTCACCCTGCACGATTAGGTGAGCCAATTTATACACACAAGAACAAGCAGAGGCACTTTAAAGTGTGGAAAATGGAATCAAACATGTTTATTTTGGTGCAAAACAATTTTTCTAAATCAATACAGTTTTTTCATGACATGCATTTCCATGAACTTCCTGAAGATCAGTGAGTGTATGCATGTCACTATACATAGGTAAATTGATTGTATTCGTCCTGTTCTCCCTGCCCCCACCTTTCCTAGCCTCAAGTTATCACTATGATCAACCTTTTTTAAGAACTCCCCATATGAGAGAGAATATGTAGTATTTGTCTTCAGTGGTTTGTTTGACTTAACATAATGACCTCCAGTTCCAGCCATTTTGCTGCAGATGTCAGGATTTCATTTCCTTTTTGTGATTAATACTCCACCCAATGTCATAACTTTTATCTAATAGCTTTCTTTTTTTTTTTTTTTTCAAAGATTTATTTCATGGGCCCAGTGTGTGTTAACACCCTGGCCTGAAGCGCTGGCATCCCATATGGGCACCGGTTCTAGTCCCAGCTGCTCCTCTTCTGATCCAGCTCTCTGCTATGGCCTGGGATAGCAGTGGAAGATAGCCCAATTTAAATAAATTTTAATTTAAATATTTTTAAAGATTTATTTGAAAGTCAGAGTTACAGAGAGAGGTCTTCCTTCTGCTGGTTCACTCCCCAGATGGCTGCAATGGCTGGAGCTGCGCCAATCCGAAGCCAGGAGCCAGGAGCTTCTTCCAGTCCTCCACCGTGGGTACAGAGGCCCAAGAACTTTGGCCATCTTCTGCTATCCCAGGCCATAGCAGAGAGCTGGATCAGAAGAGGAGCAGCTGGGACTAGAACCAGCACCCATATGGGATGCCAGCACTTCAGGCCAGGATGTTAACCCACCGAGGCACAGCGCCAGCCCCTCTAATAGGTTTCATTCCTTTCTAAGCTTTCTGATTAGGAGAGAAAGATGTTCTTGAATTTACAAGTTCAATCATTCTGGAAAGTTGGTTGAACTTCAGGAGTTCGTGGTTTTGTGAACTGAAAAATAGGCATAATGTCTACTTTTTGACCTTGATATAAATAACACAGCAAAACATCAGAAATTTGACTGACACCACACTGTACTAGAGACACATTTTTGGAGAATGATGTGAATTTCAAGAACTAAAGTTTGGAGCTGGCACCATAGGGCAGAGTGTTAAGCTACTGTCTGCAGTGCTAGCATCCTATATGGCACTAGTTCTAGTCCTGGCTGCTCTGCTTCCAATCCAACTCCCTAGTAATGCACCTGGGAAAGCAGCAGAGGATGGCCCAAGTGCTTAGGCCCCTGTCACCCATGTGGGAGGCCCGGATGAAGCTCCTGGCTCCTGATTTCGGCCTGGCCTAGCCCTGGCCATGATGGCCATCAGAGGAGTGAACTAGCACATGGAAGATCACTCTCTCAATCTCTCTATGTGTAACTCCGACTTTCAAATAAACCTTAAAAAAAACTTGTGTGGGGCAATAAAAGAAGGCAGAAGTAAATTCAACAAGCAGTGACTTAAGGATGGGTTTTCATTCCTCATAAGAGGCTCCTGATAACTTCAGCTCTCTCACTCTCTCAGCAGCACTGGAATCCATGCAGTACCAACACATTTTAAAAACTGGAGAAGGAGGCCGGCGCCGCGGCTCAATAGGCTAATCCTCCACCTGTGGCGCTGGCACACTGGGTTCTAGTCCCAGTCGGAGCGCCGGATTCTGTCCCAGTTGCCCCTCTTCCAGGCCAGCTCTCTGCTGTGGCCAGGGAGTGCAGTGGAGGATGGCCCAAGTACTTGCACCCTGCACCCCATGGGAGACCAGGAGAAGCACCTGGCTCCTGCCTTCGGATCAGCGCAGTGCACCGACCGTGGCGGCCATTGGAGGGTGAACCAACGGCAAAGGAAGACCTTTCTCTCTGTGTGTCTCTCTCACTGTCCACTTTGCCTGTCAAAGAAAAAAAAAATGGAGAAGGAACCAAGGACAATAATCTCAAACAGATAACAGGAAATTCGACACAAAAGAAATAAAGAGAAAACAAAGTTGAAAAATACTGTACAGCTACATGGACAAAGATAGTCCAAAATGTTCGTCTGTGTGCAGTTTTTTTTTTTTTAAGATTTATTTATTTGAAAGAGTTGCAGAGAGGCAGAGGCAGGAAGATCTTCCATCTGCTGGTTCACTCCAGCTGCAATGGCTGGAGCTGCACTGATCAGGAGCCAGGAGCACCTTCCTGGTCTCCCACACAGGTGCAGAGGCCCAAAGACTTGGGCCATCTTCCACTGCTTTCCCAGGCCATAGCAGAGAGCTGGATCAGAAGTGGAGCAGCCAGGACATGAACCGGTGCCCATATGGGATGCTGGCACTGCTGGTGGCAGCTTTACCCACTATGCCACAGCACTGGTCCCCACAGAGTTCTCTTAGGGTGTGAATTTTCCCAGAACTTTTTAAGCCCCCTCTTATCCTTAGGGACAGCAATAAAACTAGCAAAGACCTTAATTAAGACACAATGGAAAATGACTTCAAGGGGACAAAACTGCTCCCACTCTTGCAAGAGGCTAAAGCTGAGCAGAGGTCAGATGGGGGTGCAGGCTGTGCCTGTGGCCATGGCACTGGCCCTGTGAGGGAACCTTCATGTGAAAGAGGAGGAGGTCCTTTCTCCCTGGAAGACTGGCACAGCAGCTGCCCAATGCTTCAGGTGGGGTCCTTGTAAATTTGGCAACACAGTCCTGCAGGACATGTTGAGTCTACTCTGTGTATCACCTGAACATCGTTAAGGTTAATGAGGTGAGGAGCGGATGGTCAGTATCTGCTCTGCCTCTCTGATGCCTGAACATTCTGTTCAAAGCTGAGCTGGAACTGTACCTGCAAATGCCATTCCCTGGGGCACTGCTGGTTCCCTGGGGTGAAGCATGGTCCCAGGCCCCCCCTGTCTACCTCCCACACACTGCTGCCTGTGCGCTAGGAATGCCTGTAAATGCTGCAGATCCCAGGGCAAGCCTGGTGGCATGAAAATGATACCAGAGTCTCCAAATGTCTTTGGGGTGCTTGTAGGTGTGGTTCTAGAGAAGCTCTGAGTTCTGTGTTAGAACTTCCTGTTTCTGGAATCTGTGACCATTCTTGCCACCTGGACATCCCCCAGGTTAGTGTGTGGTTCCCCATGATGGATTTGATGGACATCAACTCATAGGAGACTCATGTAATCCTGGAGGAGGTGGTCTAACAGAATGAACTGACAATGTGTTAATTTCCTGTACAAACAGGGTAACTAAAAGCAACAGAAATTGATTCTCTCAGACTCCAGAGGTTCCAAGTCCAAAATCAAGGTGTCAGGAGGGCAGTGCTCCCTCTGGAGGATCCGCCTGGCCTCTTCCTGCTTCTGGTGGCCCCAGACATTCCTTGGCTTGTGGCCACATCACTTCCACTTGGCCTTCGTCATCACGTGGCTTCTGCTCTGAGCATCTTCCCCTCTTCTGTCCCTCTTTAGGAGATGTGGCCCAGCAGAACCACATGATAACCTCGTTCTGTTTTGCCTGATTACATTTGCAAAGACCCTTTTTACATAGAAGGTCACATTCACAGATTCCAGACGTTGGACACGGATGTATTTTGGGGGAGATTACAATTACACCGAGAGCATAGACTCCCGAATGCCACGACCTGGGTTTGAATCCCAGCTCTGCCACTTAGCAGTCACACAGCCCAGCAAAATGCTTAACTTTCTTGAATCTCCATGTTTCTAACTAGAATACAGATAATAACAGGTCTGCAGTATGTATGAAAGCATTTATAAAACAGTAAGCATTGGAATTTTGTCCCTCATTTTGTCCATTTGATTTTGGCTCAGCCTTGGATTTGTTTCTCAGACATGAATCTGTTGAAATTTCATAATTTTAAAAAACATTTATTTATTTGAAAGGCAGAGTTACAGAGGCAGAGAGAGAAAGAGGTCTTCTACCCACTGGGTTCACTCCCCACATAGCTGCAATGGCCAGAGCTGGGCCAATCTGAAGCCAGGAGCCAAAGCTTCTTCCAGGTCTTCCACACGGGTGCAGGATCCCAAGCACTTGGGCCATCTTCTGCTTTCCCAGGCCATAGCAGAGAGCTGGATCAGAAGTGAAGCAGCCGGGACTAGAACCAGCGTCCATATGGGATGCCAGCACTGCAAGTGGCAGCTTTACAATGCCAGCCCCTGTTTATTTTCATTTGAGAGGCAGAGCAACAGAAGGCACAAGCTCCCAACTACCAGTTCACTCCCCAGATATCCACAGTGGCAGGGAAGTGGAATCTGGGAGCCAGAAACTCCAGGTCTCCCACTTGGGTGGTGGGAACCCAAATAGTTCAGCCGTCACCACTGCCTCCAGAGGTCTGAATTGACAGGAGGTGGAGTCAGGAGCCAGAGCTAGGGATGAAACCCAGGTACTGCAGCGTGCTACCCAGGTGTCTTTTTTTTCTTTTTCTTTTTCTTTCTTTTTTTTTTTTTTTTTTTTTTTTTTTTTTTTTTTTTTTTTTGACAGAGTGGACAGTGAGAGAGAGACAGACCGAGAGAGAAGTCTTCCTTTTGCCATTGGTTCACCCTCCAATGGCCGCCACCGGCGCCCCGACCGGGACTAGAACCCGGTGGACTGATGCTGCAGGCAGAGGATTAGCCTATTGAGCCGCAGCACCAGCCACGACCCAGGTGTCTTAACCAGCATCTTCACTGCTAAGCCAAATGCCTGCCCCAGACATTGGGATCTTTACAGGGCTGTATGGAATCTGTAGTTACTTGGGGGACTATTATCATCTTAACAATATGAGTTTTTCCAATTCCTGCAAACTCTTTCCACTTATGGAGGCCTTGTT